TTGAAATCATATGAGGGATCCTACTATAAATCTAAGTCATACTATTTAAATAAGGGATATTGGAGTGTCTGGGGGCCTAAGGATGCAGGCAACGTCCGGAAGTCAGAACAGGAACCCTAAACGCTAAATTCTGAACCCTGCACCCAAGGCCCTCAACCCCAAAACCCCTAAACCGCCTAAACCCCACAAACCCCTGAAGCCTTAACCCCTGAGCCCTTAGCCCCCAAAACCCGTAAACCCCTACAGTAAACTCCATAAACTTGGAAACCGGATTAAGGCCAAATAGTGCTGGGATTACCCATACATTACTCTTAAGGATTGAGGCCATGGTGGTTTCCAATTTTTGGGCTTCTACCTTAAACGCCCATCAACCCGTAAACCCCTGAACCGCCCTAAACCCCTATATGAACCCTTCCCCCTAACACCCCCAAAACCCCTAAACCCCCATATCAACCCCCCAAAACGCCACAAAACCCCGCAAAGACCCTCGCCCAAGGAACTCGTTGAGGAGCATCGCCACGTTGTTGCACATGATCGGCCAAAAGATGTGCCATACTTCTCCCAGCAGCACCTTCCTTGAAGGCTTCTCCTGGCGTCTAAGTCTGGTCTATCAGGTCTAGCATATATCTATATATATATATATATATGATTCAGGGTTTAGGGTTTAGGGGTTCTCCTGGCGTCTAGCTATAAGGTCTAGTATATAGGTTCAGGGTTTAGGGTTTAGGGCTTCTCCTTTCGTCTAGTCTATAAGGTCTAGTATGGGGTTCAGGGTTTAGGGTTTAGGGCTTCTCCTGGCGTCTAGTCTATAAGGTTTAGTATGATAGATTCAGGGTTTAGGGTTGTTTGGGTGTTCTCCAGGCGTCAAGGGTCTGGTAGCATAGGGTTCAGGGGTCAGGGTATGCGGATTTTGCACCCTAAACCCTAAACCCTCAAACCCTCCCTCAAACCCGAGCTGAGGTTTCTTCAAGTTGAGGTCTGTGGCTGCTTGGAGGTTCGTGGGACTTAGTAAGTAGGGTTATAGGGGTCCCCTTTAAGGGATCTAGAGGGGGTGCTATAAGGGTTTAGGGTTTAGGGTCTACTTGGGGGATAAATTATGGGACTTAGCAAGTGGGGTTATAAGTACTTTAATTGGGGTCATAAGTAATTAGAAGTGTAGTTATCTTACTTAACACCCCAATTACTAAGTCCCATGATCCTTTAAGTAGAGCTTAGGGCTAAAGGGTGCGGGGACTAGGGTTTAGGCTTAGGGCTTGGGCACAGGGTTCAGGGATTAGGCCGCTAAGAACCGTGTTGAAGGAACTTGCCAAGCAACAGGAGGCTGAAACCAAAAACCAACCCTCATGATTTCGGAAGTCAGGGTGTTTGTCTGAGGGTTTCCGGCTTGAGGGGTTTCGGGTCTTAAGGGGTACCGCTCACAAGCCACAAACCCTAAACCGTAAACCCCAAGGGAGTTTAGCAGTAGTAGTGCACATGACAAATTCATCTATCAACGATTAACAATCATCTTCGGGACGGTCTCTGTTTCGAACTGTGTTGCATAAGCCGTTAACCTGAGCAATGCAGCTTAAATCGTACGCCCCGAACACCTACAGAATCTTCAGAGAAGCCTCAATAAAACACTCATAGAACCCTGCCAGAAGCAACACCATAACGATTTAATGCCTTCTAAAGCACCTATCGAAGCAGTGCAGAGACAATCATTGCCCAGACCCCCGGGAGGATCTAGAAAGTAGATCCCCTAATTTGGGGCCCTATACTACTAAGGGTACTTTATAGGAACCCCCATTAAGGGATCTTCTATTTGGATCCCCCCCTAAGCCCTAAACCCGAAAACCCTACAGATCCCTTAAAGGGACCGTTAAAGGAACCCCTTAAAGGAACCCCCACTAAGGGATCTACTTGTTGGATCCTCCCGGGGGTCTGAGTGCACACTACACTCTACTTAAAGGATCATGGGACTTAGTAATTGGGGCAAGATAACTACACTGATCAAAATTTACAACCCCAAAGAAGGTACCTGTAATCCAACTTACTAAGTCCCACGAACCTCCAAGTAAATCCTAGACCATGAACCCCAGGTCCGACACCCTAAACCCTGAAAACCAAGAATAATGGGACTTAGTAACCTTTAAAGGATCTATAGGGGTACTATAAGGGTTTAGGGTTTGGGGTCTACTTGGAGGATCATGGGACTTAGTAAGTAGGGCTATAAGTACCTTAACTGGGGTTATAAGTAATTATGACTGTAGTTACCTTACTTATAATCCCACTTACTAAGTCCCATGATCCTTTAAGTAGACCCTAAACCCTAAACCCTTATAGTACCCCTATAGATCCCTTAAAGGGGCCCTACTGAGTCCCATGATCCTTTAAGTAGGGGCCTCCGTCTCATTCAGGCGCGCCAGGGAGTTCGTCGGCGTGTGGACCTCCATCGTCGCACTCCGGATGGCGCCACCCAAGGCAGGCTCTGTATAGAAGGATTCCTACGAGGTTTCTTTTAAGGATTCTACAAGGGTGTCTGCAAGCGTTGCTGTAAGGGTTCTGTAAGGATTTAGGATTTAAGGATCTTCTGGTGATTCCTGGTTGTTGTGGGCATCATGGTTGCTCAGATCCGCTGTTGTTGGCTTTGTTGATGGCGGTGTTGTCGCTGCTGTACTTCGACAGTGTGTTGTGGCAGTCGTGTGCCCGAGCCATGGCAGTCGTATGTGGGAGATGGGTTCCGACAACAGTCGGACACTCACACTTCCCTTAAACAGAAATCGTCCGAGCCGATATGCTGAAAGCGGCAAGACAGAGCAGACACAAGGGAATTGGACAACAGCGACGAGGGGGTGTAAAATGAGGGCCTTAGTACATAGACTAAGGTGTCTTGCGGGGGCGTCTCACTCCAGTAGGGCTTGGGGCTTGGCGGTTGAAGGTTTCAAGGTTCCGGGTCGAAGTAGGATTCAAGGTTCGGGGTTCAGGTCTGCCGAGGTGAGGATTCCAGGTTCGGGGTTTAGGGGTTTAGGCGTTTAGGGTTTAGGGCTTAGGGGTTTAGGGGTTTAGGGTTTAAGGTTTAGGGGTTTAGGGGTTTAGGGTTCAGGGTTCAGAGGTTTAGGGTGTAGGGTTTAGGGGTTTAGGGTTTAGGCGTTTAGGGTTTAGGCGTTTAGGGTTTAGGGCTTAGGGATTTAGGGGTTTAGGGTTTAAGGTTTAGGGGTTTAGGGGTGTAGGGTTCAGGGGTATAGGGTGTAGGGTTTAGGGGTTTAGGGTTTAGGCGTTTAGGGTTTAGGCGTTTAGGGTTTAGGGTCCAGGGGTTTAGGGTTCAGGGTTCAGGGCTTAGGGTGTAATGGTTCCGGCTACAATGGCTTTGACCTACGAACGCCTACGCCGAGTCCACTTGGAGGTTCGTCGTGCTTAGCAAGTAGGGTTATCGGTACCTTGATTGGGGTTATAAGTATTTCTAAGTGTAGTTACCTGACTTATAACCCCAATTACTAAGTCCAATGATCCTCTAAGAACAGGTCAGGAAGCCCAACACGAGGATGGTGGTTCCAAGTACGCGGTCGGCGAACGCAGGAAATTCCACCACTTCTGGCAAGAAGCGCCAGTAACCCTTCTATGACATTGAGGAAAGGTGTAAGCTCCTTGCCTTGCGCGAATTTCATCGCCAATGAGACCCCCTTGTGAATTGCTTGACAGCCTCCTTGGGAGGTGTACGCAGATACCATCAGCTCGAACATTCTGCGCTTGGCGTCCGGGAATCCGTTCACTGCCCCGTTTAAATTTGCAGCGCGCTGTGCATGGAAAACTGGGACGTGGGCATCGAAGTAAATGTCATCTGTGGTCTCATCTGTGGCCCTGTAAGAATTCTGAGATCGCGACTGGTCATAACTTCTCCCGAATCCCTTTCGCATATCGATGTCAACATGTGGAGGTCACGCACACACCCAGAAATCAGAAGACGCAGGTAGAAGTACACAAGAGTACGAGGACTGTGTAGGAAGAGGAGATGCTAAAAGCAGACTACGTCGTGTGACTACGCACTGTGGCTGGTAATCATGACCATCCTCTGAAACCCTCGCCCTTCTGCTGAACATACCTTAGGATTTAGGTAGTTGTCAGAATTGTGGCCCCTTTTGGGGTACCCTAATTATTTGGTGCCGTTTTATAATAAGGACCCAAAGAAGGACCTTGATTTTGACAACCACCCATTTAGGGTTTGGGGTTGCTGACCTTCAGATTCATGGTTCAAAGCTCATGAAGACTGAGGGTTCAGGTTTTCAGGGCTTGCTTGGAGGTTCGTGGGACTTATATAGTAAGTAGGGCTATAGGTACCTTAATTGGGGTTATAAGTCATTATAAGTGTAGTTACCGTACTTATAACCCCAATTACTAAGTCCCATGATCCTTTAAGTAGACCCTAAACCCTAAACCCTTATAGTACCCCTATAGGCTCCTTAAAGGGACCCCTTAAGGACCCCAACTGCTAAGTCCCATGATCCTTTAAGTACGGGTCCCAGAATCGGAGCATGACATTTAAGGCTTAAGCACCGCAAGACACTCGTCTGCAGCGTTGACGCGCCACCCACCCCCTGATGCTCTGCTGGGGATTCCTAGAAGGCATCCCTACCGCCAAAACCTCCATGAAGGTCTCACGGCCATTATGGCGCCTCGAAATGCTTTAGCCCCGAACTGTGAAACATCTAGCCTTAAACCCTGATAGAACTATCGTATAGAAACCCTTATTATAGAAACCGCTACAGAACTCTTATAGAACCCGCGTCTGTATTAAGACCTTGTAGAACCCTTGTGCTAAGTTACATTGAATCGAACCAGTCCCATGATCCCGTAGGTTTTGGAGCCTATTATGGTCCTGTAGCTGATAGAACCCTTTTTGAGCCCCTTTGCCATCACCTTTGCCAAGAGCCCCCTAAACCCTAAACCCTATCCCTAAACCCTAAACCCTAAACCCTAAACCCCAAACCCTATCCCTCCGTGTCGCGCAATAAGGCTCTGGCACCGGAACGTTTTTTGTCTTCGGAGCAGGGGGCTCCTTTCGAAAGAAGGCTCCTTTATTGGGCTTTTAAGTAACCAAGGAGAAAAAGAATAAACTTCTATTTCATAATGGTTCCATGAAGAAAAAAGTATTAAAATATGGTACTCCAAAGCCCAGTTTACGGCCTCTTGTAGGAGGTATAAGGGCTCCGTTCAGGGTGCCTACAATGGTCTAAAGATTCCTATGAGGATTCCTCTATGCGTTCCTTTCAGATTCCTTTAAAGCTTCCTTTGAAGCTTCTTACCCGTAGGCTTATTTAAGGAATATACGTGGACTTAGAGGAGGACCCCTGACATGATTTAGGGTATGTTCCTTACTTAAGAGATATTGGAGTCTCTGTCCCCCCAAACCCTAAGACCCGAAACCCTAAACCCCAAACCCTAAACCCCTAAGTCCCTAAACCCTAAGACCCTAAGACCCTGTATAACCCCCAAACACGAAACCCCCCTAAACCCTATCAACCCTAAGATCTGGGTATAAGGGTTGAAGGATGTCTACAAGGGCTTCCTTAGGGAACCCTGTCCCTAAACCCTAAACCCTAAACCCTGAAGGATGCTTATAAGGGCTTCCTTAAGGCCAGGTTTCGGGGTTGCGGCTTTCAAGACCTTAGGCTGAAGGTTCAGGGCTTCAAGGCTGAGGGTTTAGGGTTTAGGGCTTAGGGTATTAGGGTCGTCTTAGGGTTTAGGATTTAGGAGGTTTAGGATTCAGGGCTTTCCGGCCTATTGGAGTTTAAACTTATGGTTTTGAGGCTTCAGGTTCAAGGCTTGGTGTTTAGATTCAGGTTCGGGCTTCAGGGCTGTGAGTTTAAGGACTTCGTGGGGCGAAGGGCTGGGGAGCTTGGTGGAAAGACACTGAAGTTGGGGGATAAGCGCTCCAGGCCCAACAATGCGCTTCTCTATGATGATGAGGGCTTAGGGTTTAGGGTTGAGGTTTTAGGTGAGGATGACGATAATAATGATGGTGATGGCAGTGGTGACCGTGATAGGGGCGGTAGCAAGATGGTGGTGATGTCTATGAGGGTGCCACCCCGAACGCTGAACCCCACACTCAGTGTTGAAACTCCAGACAGAAAGGTCCCAGAATCCAAGCCATTGGTGTTGTAGGGTCCATACCCTGTTGGGGCAAAGGGTTTTATTTTGGGGGGATCTACATGTTCTACAAAGCTTTCATTTGATTCCCGAACCCTTGACTCCTTGAACCCTGAACACTCTAAACCCGAGATGCTAAAACAAGCTTAACGCCTAATCTCTCTGAACCTGACTCCTAAAAAACCTTTCGGGGCGATGATGTCGACTTCGATCTCCGGAGACGAACAATAAAAACCACAAAAACCTGGATTCAACCGAATGAAAACCCTCACAAACATGAATAAACCCTAAAGAATCTAAAGAGCTGAATCTTAAAAACCTGCTATTCTGGAACAAGTATTGATAAAACTTTAGAAACACGACAGGGAGGCCTGTCGTGCCGAATTAGGCCTTTTCTTTGGTGTGGCGTGGTACTTCGGCGTTCTCCTTGAGCAGCCGAGACAGCTTGACGAGTTCTTGGTTTGGGGTTTAAGGCGAAGCAAGTCTTTAGGGTTGGGATTTAAAGCTAATTCTCCTGAAGTTTCATGAGCAGTTACAACTTCGGTTGCGAGTACCTGAAACTACCTTGCTCGAACTTCAGCTGACTCACCGATGTCCCTGCTATCTAACACCGAAGCCTCATCGAATCCTGATGCCTCCTTCAACATGTTTTCAAGCAAAACATAGCAAAACTACCAAAAAAACTTGCTTGAACCGTTGTCCGCGATCTAACCCTTGACCCTAAATGAAACCCTACTGAGACCCCAAATGCTACAGAATTGTAAATAAACCGTTCCACTCCACACCGCCACCCTACCTATACCTATACCCTCCTAAGTCCAAACCGAGTCGCTGCATGATAGGGGGGCCCGCTGGCGGGGCGGTCGGGCGAGAAGAAGCTGCCGGGCGAGGAGGAGGTGGCGGCAATGCCTTTACAGCCTTGGCTCCCCCCCAACACAAACAAAAAAGGTTTGAATGGGCCCTGTTTCCATTACTTAGTTTCGATAAAGGAACCCGAAAAAAAAAGGATGCAAGATGGTCAACGGGTACAAAGTGCGGACCTAGACACAGCGGCGGGCCGAGGCTGCGGAGCAACTGGCGTCACACGACCGAATTGCTGGAGCAACTGGGCCTGCTCCCCTAACCTGGCACAGAGGTTGGAGTTGGCGTGCTTTGGAGTTTATGCGGTCCGGGTTCACACCCTGACATCCGAATGATTGAAAGTTTAGGACTCGCGGTATTATAAATTTGTGGATTAACTAGCTGAAAGCCATTTAACCCAAACCAGAAAACTTAAGGTCGCCTTACCCCAACCAGAAAGCTTACGGTCTCCTAACCCAAATCCACAAACTTCTGGTGGCTTAGCCGAAGCCAAGAAAAGTCGGGCCCCACACCCAAACCTTAGACCTCTCTACCATGTGTATCTATTTTGTTTACATGTGTTCGTTGACTTGAGTCCTTATCTGTTCAAACTTTCAAGACAACTACCTACCACTACTCAAGTCTGCGCCTGTGGCCCAAATTTAAGGCTCAAGAACGAATTCTTGTCGATAAAATTTGGCGGTCCGGCCGCCCTGCCCTGCCCCGTTACCTTAAGTCTTTTCAGACCAGCGGCACAGCTGCAGACTCTTCCGGTGCGTGGGGAGCCCTCTGCCTTGAGCTGCACTGAGATTCAGGTCTGCGGTTGGCCAGCGCAGTTGAAGTTCATTTCTGTATGGTACCGCACCCAATGTGGGTTGTTTCCCCTGCCCCTTGCACTGCCCACTGCCCACTACCTACTGCACCCCCTCCCCTTGCCCCCTGCCCGCCTGTTTGCCAGAACGCGGGCCCCTTTTCAAGTCTAGTCTCTTGCTGCCTTTGGCGCACTTCAACAGTGGTGCCTTCAAAATTAAGGTTTAGGGTTGGGAGCCTTCTGTGAAAACCCTCATGGGGCTCTTACAGAACCCTAAAAAAACACACAAAAACAGCCTTGTTGAAAATCAAAAAGCTTACACCCCCAAACCCTAACACAATTGAATGCCCTAGCGTGCTTGAAAAACCACCTTTAAAGCCAACAACTTGCACCCAAAAATCCTACGCTCCTAAACCACGTAACCCCAAAAACCCTGATAGAACTAAAACCCTAAACCCAAAAGCCTAATCCCTAAACCCCAAACTTTTGATACCCAGTGGCAATGGCGCGGACTTTGATACCAGGCACGGCGGACCTTCTGGAGGATGTGGGGTGGGCCGCCTTGGCTCACACCCACAAGCAAGTGGTCCACGCCGTGCGCAGAATAGTCAAACGCTCGGGAAGGAACAAAGGCGCAGTGCGGCATGAGTGAGGATAAGCTAGGGATGAACTCGGAGGTCGTCAGCACCCTCCCACCCGACGCCTCACGGCGGCCGGACAACAACCACGCTGCTTTCAGACGCCATGCAGCTATGGCTGCAGCAAAGTTACAAGCCACACGAACATGCACACATCATCAGCCTGTTTTTCAACAGGCTAGAAAACTCAGGCCCATATAGAAATGATGACACCCACAAAATATGCAAGTGCAGCGCAGGCCAGAAAAGACCGAAGCGCGTGGATCCATGCACAAACGGGGAGCGAATCCGTCAAAACTAAAGCGGCATGGACAACTGCGCGCCCACGACAAAAAGTTTTACTGGCGCCAGAAAAGCCAGGCTGTAGATGGTAAGCCGCAGCCGTGGTTTAATTTTAGTCACCATTTACGACACACGACCGCGCGACGCAATAGGCGCACCCCATTACACCCCCAATCGGAAAATGATGTATGCTTCAGTTTGAACAACTGCAAACGACGATCGATCAGCTCAAAAAGAAAAGGCAGCAGAGACAGATGGAGTGCCTACTAAGCTGTGGCTCCTGCTAGATGACGACAGCCTCTGTCGGCTACGGAACTTCACAATCAAGCGTCTTCGACACACAATTAACGACCAGTCTCACCATTGAACAACGGCGGACACACCCCTGCACCTGCTATGCTTGGGCTGGAGACATTCATTCGATTCTCTGGACAACGCGCAATGATGCAAGCTTTGAAGCACTTCGGGCTTTCAGACGACATGCTGGTGTTACTTCCGCTGTTTATGAATCAGCCCACATTCCAGATGCAGGGCTTTCAGGACCACATCGTCGAGAATAAACTCAGCATGTATCCGCCCGGGCTGCCCCTCAAGTCCATGTTCCGAAGATTAAAACGTTGAACGGGCATGTAATTTAACAGCACAAAACCCGAGCCGCTCACAAATCCTCCCCAGAAAACACCGCGAGTCAGAAATTCGCGAATGGCACGGGGGGTCATGACTACCCCGCAGCTCGGAGGTCTCGAGGAAGATGCGCAAAAAAATGAGCTTCCCGGCTAAAATCAAATTCAGGATGTCCCGATCCACATGTGTACCCGTCCTTGCAAGCGCCTTGGAAAACCTTGACTCTCGCGCCTCAGGACCTTGTGAAAATCGATTGGTTCTGGTTTTCCCTGCCGACCCAACAGTCTTTAATTTTTACAGCATCTTATATTTGGGTGGAACAAGAGGCATGCGATTCCCACCTTTGCAGAGAATGCTGGAACCACATGGGACCACAGCTAAATACACAAGACCACACTGCCAGTATATCTTTGTAGCAAGAGAGCGGCGGAAATCGTCTTTCTCAAACGCAGAAACTCCAATATCCCTTAATTCAGGGATATATACCTCCAATTATACTAGGATCCCTAATATGATTTAGGGAATATTCCGTAATTAAGGGATATTGGAGTCTCTAGGAAGCCCCTCGGGCCTAACTCTTCATACCCGGCGGCAACGGTGCGCTCTTCGACGCCAGGCAGGGCGGACCTTCCGGAGGATGTGGAGTTGGCCGCCTTGGTTGTTGAGGGTTGAAGCTTTCGGGGTTGAAGCTTCAGAGTCTTAAACAGTGATTTCCTGCTTCTTGCTGAGCATGTAGAAAGGTTTTCTGTCAATGTTCCAGACTTGTACGTAGAAGGATTCGGAGCGGTTCTGTAAGAGTTCTGCAAGTGTTCTACAGTGACATTACCTATAGTTGTACATAGTCTGACCTATTTTTAGGCCTAGATTACACTGCAGACACGCGAAAGATCGAAACCCCCACTTTCCAATCCGAAGGGCTTAGGGTTTAGGGATGCATCCCTTCTGAAACCCGCATAAAGAGTCCCGTCAACCCTACACCCTAGACTGTGGGTTTGGGTTTTGGACTTAGGTCTTAAGATCCTGCGGCCAACGGGGTCGACCGCGACTCCGACCAACGCCCTCAATTAGCTCTTTGGTCTTTACAACTTGTATATGTTAGGCCTGATCACTTGTGTAAACTCCACCAAGAACAGGTACCCCAAGTTCAAGAAGATGGTATTAGTCCCCTGCTAGACTCCCTATAGAACCCTCTTAACACCTCCAGAGAACCCCATCAAAAATCCATATTGCGCAGGTCACTGATCCATGAAGTACGGGAGATCGACCATTGCCTTCCCGCGCGATTCAGCTTGAGGTTGAGCTTCTAGGGTTTAGGGTCTAGAATGTATGAAGCTTCCACTTCGACGGCCCCTTGAAGCCCATAAAGTCTTAAGCCATCAGGGTGTCAAGAAAGTCCATTACACCGTTCTAAGGATTATTGTGCCTTCTCAGAAAAGCATCGTCGGACGTAGGCGTTTTGCTTTTGCATGTCCTCCAGCCCCTAAAGCCTTCCACCTCACTATCGTCCAGCATGTGGGTGGTTGTCAAAATTACTCAAAGGATCATGGGACTTAGTAAGTAGGTTATAATTGGGGTTATACGTCCCCTAAGTGGGGTTATCCTAATTATAACCTACTTATAACCTTACTTACTAAGCCTTATGAGCCTTTAAGTATGGTCCCTTTTTGGGTACCCTAAATACTAGGTGCCGTACTACTTTAGGGACCTCAGGAGGTACCATCATTTTGACAACCACCCATGTGGAGTTCTGGTTACGGATTCGCGCCTAAGATCGCACTGGGTGTAGACGGGACAGACTCCCTAAACCCTAAACCCTAAAACCCTAAACCCTAAACCCTAAACCCTAAACCCTGAACCCTAAACCCTATAAACCCTGAACCCTAAACCCTAAACCGCAAGACCGACAGCGCCTGAAAGCTCACAACTTCACACGAACTAGGACTCAAAACAAGCCCTCTGAACCTCGGAACCGACCCCGAAAGTCCTCAAACCTAAAGCATCAACTCTATAAATTTCTTAACCCCAGAGAAGAAGCATGCTCAAGATTTAGGGTTTATAGAGATTGCTAAGGGCTTTTTATGTGCAGTAGCCTCTTTCTCCGCAGACTGTTTAGGGTTTAGGGATTAGGGTTCTGAGTTTTGACCGGGTTGTGTGCGGGGTTTGGCCTGTTTGCCTTTGGCTCAATTGATATTGAGACTTTGGCTGCTTTGGAGGGGATTGCTGCTGCTACGGAACGAAATTGCAACGGATCGAGCCTTCATCTGCGTCATAATGGTCTCTTTGAAGTGCCCCTAACACCCCTAAACCCCTGAGCCCCTAAAACCCCTAAACCCTGAACAGCCCAGAACAGCAGGGCCTCTACTTCAGGTGCACCATGCCGCCTCGGCTGCCGTAGCAAAGTGAGGTGGACTTTTAAACTTCGCTTCTAGGCCTTTAAAGGGCTCCTTAAAGGGATCTATAAAAAAATCCTTTGAACAGGATCCATAAGGGATTTACAGGGTTTTGGCTTTAAAAGGCTTAGGGTTCAGGGCTTTAAAGGGTTTAGGGTTTGGGGTCTAAGGGTGTGGGGTTTAGGGAAGGCTTTAAAGGGCTTAGGGTTTAGGGCTTTAGAGGGTTTCGAGTTTAGGGTTTAAGGTTTTGGGGTTTAGGGAAGGGTCTAGGGTTTAAGCGTTTAAAGCTTACCCTAAACCTATGGTATCCCAGGCAGAATCCCCTTTTACAACCCTTATAGTAACCCTGAACCCTAAAAAGGTGGGATTGGGGTTTGTGGTTTGTTGGGCTTGTGAGGGTGGAGTTCGTACCGCAGAATTTTGGGTATGGTTGACAGTGAACCCCAGAAAGCTGGAACGTAGATTCAGGGGGATTAATGCTAGGATTCCCTCTACTTTACCTTAAGGGCATGAGGATAATGATCTTCCAACTTTCTGGCTTCTACTGTAGGGCTTAAGACTTTGGCTTAAGACTTTAGAGTCTGACAGGCCTAAACCTATCAGCTCGTGCGAAAGAGTGAAAATATTGAATTGGCCCTACATCCCCAAGCAACACGAGAACGGAATTCCAAAACCTCCTAAAGCCACGATGCCCAATGCTGTGCCTCCTTCTGGGGGATCTCGATGGAACTCTCATGCAGAGGCTTGCATAATGGAACTAGGGTGTTGGGGTTACAACGGTTCTAAAATAGGACTAGGTGGGTTTCGGAAAATGGGGGACCCTAATAATATAATGCCCCAAATAGTAGGATACTTGAAATCAGGAAGGACCCCACAAAGAAGCTATTTCCGGACACTCCCAGACCTCGGGCTTTGGGGTCTAGCCGCCTGAAAAGGTAGACTCGGCATCTTGGCGGCTTTGTACTATAGACAGATGAAGATCATAGGGGAAAAGGAGGGACCCTTAATGGGGACCCCTACCCTATAATGGGCTATACAATGGGTATAGAATGGCTCTATTAAGGGTATATACCTAAGGGTCCTTATTAAGGGTCCCTCCTTTTACCCTTGGAGAAGAGGTGATCCCTGAACCATAAACCGTAATTGGCACGCGCTCGAAGAGAGCATGAGCCGAAGCATGCGGAGCCCGGCGGTGTTTTTGCCACACCCTCTTAGACTTCTGTGCATGCCTTGGCCCGTACTTCTCCACCAGATTCCAAAAACCGCTGAGAGAGCTTTGGCGGTCCCTGGATCCAGTCCGCTGTGTCAAAGAAGCAGGGCGTCGCAACGCCGTCTGCTGTTTCGTGCTGTCTGATGCCGAGCTGTTTGCTGAACTGGACAAGGCACACTTTGCACGAGTCCCAAACCTGGAACCCTAAACCCTGAAACACCCTAAACCGTTACAAAATATTCAGCCCCCAACAACTATTGCATTCAGGGATCTCCCATGCTGCCCTGTCTCGTTCCGACCTGATCGGCGTCCACTCTTGCTACGTGAATGTGTGCAGAGTCTTCGGTTTAGGATTCAGGGTTTGAAGGTCAAGGGTGTACGGTTTGAGAGCTGTGTATAGCCCTTATAGGGTGTAAATGGGTGTTCATGAACAGGTCTTCTTCGGCTTGCACAGAATACTTTTTTGCTGTGAAGAGCACTTTTTGGGGGGTTGGAAGTTCAGCTGCGGTAGAAACACTTTAGCGTAGGCTGGAAAGCTGGAAGGCTATGTCCACACTTAGGGTATCACAGTCTTACATATAACCCTACCCTAAACAAACAACGCGGGTAAATTTTACTTGGGCTCTTGAGGATGTCACGGTCTAAAGCATTTACAAACAAGATTCAGAATTCATGGTGAGCCCAGCACCCTTAAACGAAAGACGCGCGACCCCGATCTAGCTTAAAACTCTTCGCAACTCTGAAGCCCTTTCTTGATAACCCCGACGGGTCATACACCTCTGTAGCACAACCTATGTCTTCATATCGTAATCTAGTCTAGTCTTGTCTCGTCTCCATTACAACATATTATAGTATATTGTGTTATAATATGATATTGTGTTATATCACGCTAGGTTATGCTCTCGTATATTGTACTGGATCATGATGTTTATTACACTATATTATCGTGGCTATTCTTATCTTAGATTATGTGTTTCAGAATACATGTACATATATATATATATGCTAGCCCCCCCCCCCAAGACCAACCCTGAATTCCCTAAATTCCCTAATTCCCTACCCATTGGATTTAGGTATTCCCTAAATTCCCTAAATTCCCTAATTCCCTACCCCATGTGTTGGATCTGGGGAATTCCCTATTTCCCTAAATTCCCTAAATTCCCTAAATTCCTTAAATTCCTTAAATTCCCTAAATTCCCTAAATTCCCTAATTCCCTACCCCATGTGTTGGATTTGGGGAATTCCCTAAATTCCCTAAATTCCCTAAATTCCTTAAATTCCTTAAATTCCCTAAATTCCCTAAATTCCGTAAATTCCCTAAAGTCCTTAAATTCCCTAAATTCCCTAAATTCCCTAAATTCCCTAAGTCTGACCCCCATGGAGAAGATTCAATGGTTTCCGTTCATGGGTAGGGAATTTAGGGAATTTAGGGAATTTAGGGAATTTAGGGAATTTAGGGAATTTAAGGAATTTAGGGAATTTAGGGAATTTAGGGAATTTAGGGAAATTCCCCAAATCCAACACATGGGGTAGGGAATTAGGGAATTTAGGGAATTTAAGGAATTTAGGGAAATTAGGGAATTTAGGGAATTTAGGGAATTTAAGGAATTTAGGGAATTTAGGGAATTTAGGGAATTTAGGGAATTCCCCAAATCCAACACATGGGGTAGGGAATTAGGGAATTTAGGGAATTTAGGGAAATTAGGGAATTTAGGGAATTTAGGGAATTCCCTAAATCCAACACATGGTCCGGGCTGGGAGTCAGGAATGTTAGGGAATGCGCTAAAACCAACACATGGGGCTGGAAATTAGGGTATGTAAAGACTTTAGGGATTTAGGGAGTCTGCAGGAACTCACGCATTCTGTAAATTCGAGGCATGGAAGCAGTGATTAGAGAATTTAGGGAACTCGACCTCGCGACGTCGCCGGTTGACGTGTCTGTGCAACTGATACTTGTAGTAATATTGATATTATTTTGAAAACTTTGAAAACTATAATACTCATACGAGTACTAATACTTATAGTAATACTACTGGTGAAACTGATAGTATGCTAGTATGAATACTGATGTTCCCAAGAATACTTGAAATCATGTACATTGTATGAATAGTCTTGATGCGAATACTAATATACATACTATAGCTAGTATTATCGCTAGTATGAATATTGGCTATGCATATTCGTGAAATTACTCATTTTTGGAGTACTCATATTCATGCTAATATTAGCACTAAGGCTAGTGCGAACGTGCATAATAACATGCTCATACATGAATGTTAGCATTCGTATTAATATCAGCATTGGTATGTTTTTCAGTAGTACTAGTAACTCATACGAAGAGTAACCTCAAGTTTCATATTCCGACGAATACCAACGCATGTTTTGTTCATACTAATTTTAATTCTACTACTAGTATCTACTCCTAATATTGAAAAAACTGTACTAATACCAATTTTAGAATTGATGTGAACACGAACTTTAATGTTCTTGCCAATACTAATATGCATAGTAATATTAGTTAGCATTAATGTATAGGAAAACTAATGTTCTTACGAATACTAATAATCATGTTCCCCTTTTATATTCATATAAGAATCGTCATGCCTAGATACGTACTAATGCTAGTACTCATGCTAATACGAGTATTAATACCAATACAAGCATAGGTATGAATATTCCTACGGGTATTTATGCTCATGTTCTTAACAAAATTATTCTCAGTACGAATACCGACATTAATAGTCTCTTTAGAACCATATTGATATTAATATGAGCACTAATACTTCGGCTAGTACGAACATGCATAATACTAGCAAAATTATTTGTGCTCATACAAATATAGAAAGATTATTACATACTCATATTAATATCAATACCAATATGAATTTACAAACATCATATTAATGTCAATATCGTTTTTGTAATGTATACTAAAGAATACATCAGAATAAGGCACAAGGAAATGAATGCATCAGATTGTTAAAAACTCAATGTTTTCATTTACCAATATGTACGGTCATAGTATTATACTAATATACTAATAAATTAATATATTAATATACTGAGAAACTGATATACCAATAGACCATTGTTACTAATATACCAATATACGAGTATACCCAAAAAATTTTTTATGAATATATATGTTTTGTTTATATACCAATATACTGAATATACACATATGAATACTTATACACATAATGTACTAAGACTAAGTTTTTAAAGCCCAGCCCACGTCTAATATTAATACGAATACTAACACAAACACTAACACTAACACTGCTATAGACATATATTAAATTAAACTGGAGCACTAATACTCATATTAATATTAAGACTAACACTGACGTTGACACTGACACCAGCATCAGCACTAACAGGAACACTAATCAAACGAACAGTAATATTGGACAGATACCAGCAGCATTGTTAGAACTTCTAAAATTAGTAATGACACAAAACTAATAATAATGCTAACGCTAGCAAAAATATTAAGGTTACTGCTCACAATAATTGAGGTTCAAACTTAGAACAAAATTAAGTCAAGACCAATGTTAACACTGTTTTTTAAGACTGAAACTAAAAATAAGACTTTGACAAGATGACAACTCATGTTAATATCAATACCAATATGAATTTACAAACATCATATTAATGTCCATATCGTTTTTGTAATGTATACTAAAGAATACATCAGAATAAGGCACAAGGAAATGAATGCATCAGATTGTTAAAAACTCAATGTTTTCATTTACCAATATGTACGGTCATAGCATTATACTAATATACTAATAAATTAATCTATTAATATACTGAGAAACTGATATACCAATAGACCATTGTTACTAATATACCAATATACGAGTATACCCAAAAAAATTTTTATTAATATATATGTTTTGTTTATATACCAATATACTGAATATACACATATGAATACTTATACACATAATGTACTAAGACTAAGTTTTTAAAGCCCAGCCCACGTCTAATATTAATACGAATACTAACACGAACACTAACACTAACACTGCTATAGACATATATTAAATTAAACTGGCACTAATACTCATATTAATATTAAGACTAACACTGACGTTGACACTGACACCAGCATCAGCACTAACAGGAACACTAATCAAACGAACAGTAATATTGGACAGATACCAGCAGCATTGTTAGAACTTCTAAAATTAGTAATGACACAAAACTAATAATAATGCTAACGCTAGCAAAAATATTAAGGTTACTACTCACAATAGTTGAGGTTAAAACTTAGAACAAAATTAAGTCAAGACCAATGTTAACACTGTTTTTTAAGACTGAAACTAATAATAAGACTTTGACAAGATGACAATAATTAATAAAGGATGAGGCACACAAACTGGACTCTGTCTTTTACCACTCCGACAAGACGCGCCGAGAGTGTAAATGGTGTCCATAAAACTGGACCCTGTTTTTTACCAGTCTGTCAAGAGGCGTCGAGAGTGCAAACTTTGTACGGGAACACAAACACCATCGGTATTTACAGTGGTTTCGGCTCTTATTCATGACGCTGTGAAGACAGTAATGAGCAGGACAATGGCCGAGGTTGGTCCTGGGGGGGGGGGTTACCATATATATATATTATTATGTACCATTAAACTAGAATATGCTATGATATATTAAGACTAGGTTAGAATATAATTATAGGTTAATTTAGAAAAAAATAGTTTCTACCTACTACTTTGTAGTATATTATACCATGCTATACTGAATTATGAAATATCAAAATATACCATACCGTACTATATTGTTATATGTTGTATTCTACAATATCGTACCACAGTATACTATATTGAACTATACTGTAAAATATCATACTGTATTGCACTATGCTATATTTCGCTGCACTATACTCTGCTATATCATGTTAGGTTATAAAGTATGTTGTATTGTACTATGCTATAACATATTACATTACATGATGTTATCTCGTCTCACACCACATCACATCACGATGCCGCATATTGGATTATATGACTTTGCTTTCTAATATACCAGGAACTGCTTGGAGGATCATGGGACTTAGTAAGTAGGGTTATAACTACGGTAACCTATTTACTTGTAACCCAATATTAAGCTACTTATCACCCTATTTACTACCCTCCAAGTAGGGCACACTCTAAGTGCAGAATTAGGGGTACCTGGAAAAACATGAAAATTATCAGCAAGTATAACCGCTTATATCCCTTTTAAGGAACTCCTTCAATTTACGTACTAAGTCTCATGATCCTCTATCTACCGACGACATTCGAATTAAGCCGAAGATGAAAGCCGGCCCAAGGGTTCCAGGGTCAGGTTTTAGGGATGAGGGTTTAGGGTTTAGGGTTAGGATTCAGGGTTTAAGGTTTAGGGTTTCGCCGTAGAGTGGCGCACAAGCGGAAGTATCTTGCGACACTGTAATTTCGAGTGCATGTCCTCTGACGATTGGCCGTTGGAGCCTGATTGTGGATGGCTCTTTCTTTTAGCTCTCCCACCCCACGCCGTCTAAGGCGGCCAAACCACCTATGGTTTTCTCCATTTCTTCAACCGCACAACAGGGCAGCAGCAACACGGGCAGGCAGGGCAAACCAGGGCAGGGCCAGGGCCCCAAGGAGTCCCGAAATGTTTAGAGCAGGCCCACATAAAGAAAGAGGCGCTCCCTCGACTTTGGCACCTGGCCCTAATTAAAATGCACATTTTCTGAACGGAATTTAGAAAGGGGGAGGGGGGGTGGTCAGGAAGGAGGGGCCAGGAGGGCCCAGAGGGGGCCAGGGGGAAAACGCCAAAAGGTCCAAGAATGGGGACCAGTACTGGTCCTGAAAAGAACCTGCTGGTGCTACCGTTCCCATGGCTGTGGAAAGGCGCATTGGGTCGCTCTGCGCCATCGAGGTCGAGGGGCTTAAGCGCCGCCCACCCACAGTAGGTGGGCGGCCTAGGCCATGAGTTTAGGATTCAGGCTTTAGGGTTTAGGATTCAGGGTTCAAGGTTTAGAGTTTAGGGTTTAGGATTCAGGATTCAGGGTTTAGGGTTTGGGGTTTAGGGTTGCAGGGCACTTAGCAAAGGGGGCCCTAAAAAATCAGAGTAAGGCTCCTTTCAAGGGCTATTTAAGGGATCTAGGGCCTTGGAGGCCCATTGCACGACAGCTGTCATGTAGGAACCCCCAAAATAGTATTGGAAATTATTTGGGCCCTTATATTGACGATTTAGGGTTTAGGGTTTTAGCCTCCGGCTCAGGATTCAGGATTTAGGCTTTAGGGTTCTTGTTTTCGTTTTAGGATTGTTCGGGGTTTGGTGTTCAGGCTTTAAGGTCTAGGGCTTCGAGAAAAGGCGCTTTAGCTAGTTGAACCAACGTGGCAACTTGCCTCCACTTCTCCATGTCCTCTGCGTTGGGTATCCGGAAGGTCCTTGACAGAACAGCGTGCAGACGGGCGAGCACAACAGCATGCAACTCTATATTAGTGTATGCATACCCACGCAAGCACACGTGCACACGCACACACGAGCACACACATACATGCACACACCACCATGAACACACATGTGTCGGTACGTATGTATGTAAGTATGTAAGTATGTACACATGTATACGTGTATATATGTAGATCTGCATATATATATATATATGTGTACATATGCACATACTTATAAATGTATAAACGTATATGCAGACATGCCATACAGCACAAGCTACATACCACTGCCTAGTTACTCACTTACCTGCACTGGGAGTCATGCACGCGCACTTTACATGAGTGCTTGTTGGTTTGATGAACTCGTTTTAACTACTTAGTTAGTCTAGGTAGCTAGCTAGTTACGTAGCTAGTTAGTTCGGTATTGAAGCAGTCACTTAGTCAGTTAGATAGTCCGTCAGTAGTCAGCCAGTCAGTGAGTCAGCCCGTCACTCAGTCAGTCAGACAGTTGGATGGTTCGTTAGTTGATTCATCAACTAATCAATGCAGTTTATTCATTGGCTGATTCCGTGGTTCATGTACTATTTAAGCCACTGATTCATGAACCATTCAACTTGTCAACCGGTTCCTTGCAACTAGACACTGAGGCTGTTAAATGACGGCGCCGTGACAAGTAGGTCGGAAGTTAACCTGAGGGTGTTGTAAGCATGTAGGATACTGTAGGATTTTAGGGTAGGTGTATTATAGCATCGTTTTAATCGAACCCTTCCGGGGATGATCCGACCCTTATCCTGGTTTCCAAAGCATCACAGAGCCTGGTCGCTTTTAAGCGTTCGGGGTTCAGGGGTTAAGGGGTTCAGGGGTATAAGGGGTTTAGGGGTTTAGGGTTTAGGGTTTAAGGGGTTTAGGGGTTAAGGGGTTGAGGGGTTAGGGAAGCCCTTTAAGCCGAAGCCAAAGAACGGCAAGGAGTTTGTATCACATAGCCAACGGGATGAATAAACACACAACAGACGCCCGATCTCGGATAGTTTTCAGGACTCAGTCCCAAAAACGACATTCATCCCGCCCTAAAACCCTAAACCATAAACCCTAAACCCTAAACCAAATTCTGTTCCTGCCGCCCCGAGACTTCCCACAAATTTAAGGTTTAGGACTTCGGGCTAGGGTTTAGGGCTTAAGGTCTAGGTCTTTGGGTTAAGGGTTAGGCTTTAGGGTTTGGGGTTTAGGGTTTAGGATTTAGGGTCTAGGGCCCTAAACTTCAAGCTTCAGGATTTAGTGTTTAGTATTTAGTGCTTGGGAGGAAATGACATCCCTCTCTCTCAGGGCTTAAGACGCTGAAACCCCAAGCCCCAAACTCTCAACGCGAACTTCGGGATTGCTAGGGTTTACGGTCTAGGACTTACATAGGATTAAGGTCTGGTTTTAGGGGGCAGTCTCTGAACTCCGGACGAAACCTGCCGAGCGAAGAGAGATCTCAGAACCTCTAAATCATGAAGCCCTAGACCCAACTCCAAGCGAAAACCTAACCCTAAACCCTAAACTGTTAAACCCTAAACCCCTAACCCTAAACCCTAAACCCCCTGCCCCCCCGATCGAAACCCCAGAAGGAAGCAGTAAAAGTTGAAGAAGCGCTCCGAGGCCCAACCCCCAATCCTACAAAGTTCATATGCTACGAAGAACTATGCCAAAACTGCACCCCCCCCCCTTAGAACCATATTAAAAATAATGTGCTTAAATATTCTCTTGGGTCTTATATGAACAAAAGTTAAAACAATAATTCCTAAGGAGACTATAGAAAAGCACTCTACCCTGCCACACCCCCAAGTCCCTGCGCAGCCAAAACACTGATACAAGACAGGATATTCAAACCTTATATCATCCGTTGAATGGCGCTGGGGGCCCGACACACCCTTTGCCATAACCTGAGCCGAGAAACTCCAAATACCCAGGAAGCCTAATCCCCTTCAAGTAACGTGTTTCTAATGTAGGAACCTGCTTAAGAAACCTTGGGCCTTTATTAGGGTTCCTTATATGAATCCTGATATATTGCGGGTTCTAGGCCCAGGGGTTCTTTATCGGGCTCCTACATTAATCTATACGAGTCCATGAGGCATTTGCTCTTTCGCAGTTTATCCTCACTGTGACTGAAGGATGATTTCATAATGAACGGGTATGTCGGCTTCCTGGTACCCGAGGGACAAGAGTTGTTTAGGGTTTAGGCCTGGAACGGTCCAGCGGCCAAATTGCGCATGTAGGATTCGAGGTTTAGGGCGTAGATTTAGGATTGAATTTTAGATTTAGGGTTTGGGTTTAGCGCGGGACATACGATTGACGGTTCAGTGCCACTGAATGTTTTCCTGGAGGTCCCTTTGAAGAAGTTGTGGCTTAGGGCTTATAGGGTTTAGGGTCTAGGGTGTGTCAGGGCTTATGCAGGGCTGAGCACAGGGTCGACAGGTGAGCCTCAAAGAACTCAGAAGTGGGAAGACATGCAGAAATTTCGAGCTGAAGGCTCACAGTTACCCCGGTCTCATAGGTCCTAAATTCCCCAAACCTCAAATCTCAAAACAAAATCCTGAACCCTTCACCCGAACATTATACCGCAAACCCCCTAAAGATACCAAAGGCATGCTACATCCATACTGGAATGCTAGATACTCCGTGCCGAATACATCAGCTGCCGCGCTTCCTACACCTCCATAAGAGGTGCAATACAGAGGTCCAAACAATTAGTAATCATATCCCTTACAAGGTGGTAGTCACTATATCATATGGACATACTACGATTGCTACACCCAGTATTCAAAACCCCACTCTAGTTACTAAGGCTCCGACATAAGCCCCGACAAAACACCCTTGCACAGCCCTGCAAACCCCATAAAACCTTATTCTGACTCCGAAGGCCGTAGGGGAAAGGGTTTAGGGCTTTTAGAGTTTAGGGTTTAAGGTTTTTGTGCTCTGGAAGAAGTAGGAGGTGAGTGGCAACACCACGGAAGGAGGCGAGGGTTGACACTTCTTGTAAGCCTTAAAAAGTAGAAGCCATAAAGTTGGAACATTACAATCCTCGCCCCTTAGGGCAAAGTAGAAGGGATCTTGGCACAAATCGTCCTAAACCCATGTTCCAACTTTCTGAGGTTCGATGCAAAGTTAGGATTAGAGTTAGGGTTTTAACCTTTTTGGGGCTTCAGGTGTTTTGAGGTGTAGGTTTAGGGTTTAGGGTTAGGTTTCGGGTTTGGGGTCTACGATTTGTGGTTTTGGGGGTTTGGGGTTTTGCGTTTAGGGGCAGGATTTGACCGCCCGAAACCCGAATCCTTCAACCCCAAGCACTAACCCGTCAGATGTAGTCCTTCCAAAAATTGCTGTGCGGGTTCCTTTACAGGAACCCTGAACCCTACTTGAAGGATCATGGGACTTAGTAAGTAAGGTTATAAGTAGGTTTTAATTAGGATAGCCCCACTTAGGGGACTTATAACCCCGATTATAACCTACTTACTAAGTGCCATGATCCTTTAAGTATAATTACCCTGAACTCTTGGACTGAAATGATCCTCAACGAACCAGAAACCCCAAACCTTGAGCCCTAAACCCTAAACCCCTAAACCCCTAAACCCTAAACCCTAAATCCCAAACCCTACACCCTAAACCTTAAACCTTCCACCCTAAACCCCAAACACCTAAATTCTGAACCCTGAACTTCTGAACCCAAAACCTTAAGTCTTTCCCCCTAAACCGTAAAGGAACCAAGAAGGATTCTCCACATCTCCTTGGGCCCCCTGCGTCCTGGAGGAATGACTCCGGCTGTAGGAAATTCCGCTCCTTTGTTGGGTAGCTGTTTTTTTTGTGGCGCATTTGGGGGCTCAGGGTTTAGGGGTTTGGGGTTAGGGGGTAATGTTTTAAGCTTTGAGGGTCTACCTAAGGGTTAGTCTCATAGAGCACTCTTAAAAGGAAGTCTTATCGCTCCTTGAGGGGAAGTTTCGGAGGAGGGCCTTTAGAGGAGCCCTTGAAGGAACCATGGGTTTAGGGTGGAGGGCTGAGAGCAGCTTCCAAGCTTGATGAGGGAAGCTTCGACAGGAGATTCCCGACACCGCACGCCGTCGTGGGAGCCAGCGTTCAGGATTTAGGCCCTAAATTCGGCTACGAAGCTGTCGAGCTCCTCATCGGACATTTTGACCAGGCTCTCCGTCATGGAAATAAGCAGGTAGGGCGGTTTAGGGTTTAGGGTTTAGGGTTTCGGGTCACCCGTGGAGTAGCTGTTGAGGTGGTCTGCACTTGCAAGGTCCAAGCCGGCACGTTACAGCGCCACCTCCGCCGGCGAAAGCGCCTCTTCTGCCTCGTCGGTGTCATCCACTGCAGCCACAAAGCCTTCAATCCAGTCCAAAGGCGGCGGCGGGACGACATTAAAGAAAGTACCGGCAACCCTAAACCCTAAACAGAAGCCCTAAACCCTAAACCATAAAAACTTAAACCCTAAACAGAAGCCCTAAACCCTAAAGCCCAAACCCTAAACAGAAGCCCATTCGGAAGCCGGTCTGAGGCCTCGGGGTGCCCCCAAGGAGGCCAAGTTCTCCTCCGTGATGGTAGCTCGTGCTTCGGCTTCGGCACGGAATCGACGGCCGTGTTGAAGCGCGAGGGTAATCGGGTTTAGGGTTTCGCGTTTAGGCAGTCGGGTTTAGGGTAGTAGGGCTTGGGTTGAGGACTCAACGGTGATAGCGCTTAGGCTCCGAACCTGCAACCCCCAAACCCACATGTCAATCCTGGGCTCCAAACCGAGCCATTTGGAAACCTTCTGCATAATATGGTCTGGGGCTCACGGCGGCTGTTTCGAGTTCCGAAAAGCCATGGTGCACAAATGAAACAAATCGAAACCCTGAGCCGTAGACGCCAGACCCTGAACCCTAAATCCTGAGCCCTTCCGAGTCAAGCTATCGGAGACAGTGTCATTACGGTTGATGACATGAATCCTGCATTTCCCACAATAAGGAGTATACCATAATTCCCATAGTCTAGGGTCCTTAAGGTAATGCAGGATTCATATCATCAACAGGTGTCATTAACATGCAACGACAGACTCCAAGACCCCGAAACTCAGGAATGTACCATATGGGTGGTTGTCAAAATTAGGGTCCCTTTTTTGGTACCCTAAATATTAGGTGCCGTATTATAATAGGGACCCAAAACAAACCATCATTTTGATAGCCACCCATATATAAGCGACGAGGGTTTTAAGGTTCAGGTTTTAGGGTTTGGGGTACTTTGAGTTTTTGGTTATTGACGACTCCTTCTTTGAAGGTCTCTGGGTACTTCTAGGGTGAGAAGTATGGCAACTGCAGGTATACTTCGTGATGCCATTTGACCCGTTGAAAAAGGAAACCATCCAACTCCATAGGATCACACATCGACTTGCAGACCACTTCATCCAGAAGCCCTAGACGACCTCGAGTTCCTGCTCACCTACATTACCCATACTGAGCAGCGACATTGCTCTGCTGCTATATAACACAACTGCTATACGTCCCGACACGACGACAAAGACGACGACCACGACGACGACTACTACCACTCTGCTCCTTCTGTGTCTGCTGCTGCTGCTACCGCTTCTGCTACTGCTACTCCTCCTCCTCCTCGACTACGACCAGGACTGCGACTCCGACTACGACTAGGACTGCGACTGCGACCGACTTCGACAACGACAACGACTGCGACGACGACTACTACTACTGATACTGAGACTGATACTGCTACTGTTACTGATGCTGATACTGATACTGATCATCTCCTGCTACTTCTCCTGCTGCTCGATGACGACGACTATCCGGACTACCACATTTAACGCATCACTGCTACCAGGACGAAGCCCCAGCGGCCAAACGCAGCAGCAAAGGCAAAGTACCGTACTGCGGATACTGTCCGCACCTTTGCGTGCAGGTGGGGTCGGATCAAGGTTTAGCGCTGTGGGTTTAGAGGCTTTAGGCTTTAGGGTTTAGGGTTTCGGGTTTAGGGTTTAGAGTTTAGGCTTTAGGGTTTAGGGTTGAGCATTTAGGGGCTGCAGGGGGCATTTGTGATGAGGCAGATGTAGCTCTAATGTTAAGAAGCCTCTTTTGAAGCCCCTGCAAAATACCTCCGAAAAGGCCAAACTTAGAAATTTAGAGTTTTAGTGTGCTTCGTCAGTGCTACTCTTTGCAGCAAGGGCATTCAAACGTGAAGATGCCATACCCGATACGCCGTACGAAACCCCAAACACGCCAATCACAGCTTCAAAGCATGCAATAAGAACCATGCAAGCCGGAGGACCCCGACGCAGGTTTATTGTCGTATTCCCTGTTTGACTTCAATATCGATAACCAATTGTGGGATACTGATCAAGGAACATCATGTTGATGACAGCCGCTTCGTGTGTCAACCTCTAACACTATGGATTGCTAGGTTATGTTACAGTAGGAGTAATGATACATACACTGACCATTCAAACACTAGTAAGAACAGCAATGGCACAGGCAGTGCACTCTGTTCATGACATCGATACAGAATAGTAACTTTCTCTTTATCATGGCCATGATCATCCTCATCGTCGCTCACGAACCCGATGAAGAATTATCTTTCTGATTCAAAACAGGACCAAGCCGTCAAATCGTCAAATGCTGGCCCTGCGGTTGATGATATAAATCCTGCATTAACCATAATAAGGAATATCCCATAATTCCCACAGTTTAGGGTCTTTGAGGTAATGCAGGATTTATATCATCAACAGTAAACCCGAAGCCCTAAACCCTAAACCGGGTTCCTGGGCCCCCGGCGCCCCTATCTCCCTCAAGAACTTTAACAGGGAGTCCTGCCCAAAGCGTCCAGAGTTTCCGGGTTCTGATTTTTGGGAATAGTCCTGTGGGTTCTGGCATCTTGTGTTAAATGCGGAAGGTAAGGTTTGGCTTATGGAGGAGGGTGTAGGGCTTCGGGGTTGCAGGATTTTGGACTTTGGGTTTCAGGATTCTGGAGGTCGGGCCTCGGGTTTAAAGATTTGCGAGGATGTTCGGTTCAGGGCTTCGTTGTATACTGCTGATGATATAAATCCTGCATTGCCTTAAAGACCCTAAACTGTGGGAATTATGGGATACTCCTTATTATGGGTAATGCAGGATTTATATCATCAACCGTAGGGCCTCTGCATCTGACACCTTAAGTCCTAATCTCCTGGCGCAGGGAGTTTGTAAAGGCTACTTACAGTGAACACCAGAAAGTTGGAAACCGGATTAAGGCCAAATAGTGCTGGGATTCCCTATACATTACTCTTCAGGACTGAGGCTATGGGGTTTCCAACTTTTGGGCTTCTACTGTAAAGGGTCATGGGACTTAGTAGTTGGGGTTATGGGTAAGGCTAACCCTGTAAAAATTTACTTACAACCCGAATTAAGGTACTTCTAACCCTATACTTACTAAGTCCCATGATCCTCCAGGTAGGGTTCGGGCTTAGGGTTCAGCGGTTTATGGGCTAGAGCTTAACTGAGATAGACAACGGGAGAACTTTAAAGTCTTTTTGGCATCATATAGCTTGTTGGGTCCGGTTGTTGAAGAAGAGAGTTGAAGGATTGTCCTTAGGATGGGGAAAGATTGCTTACTATCAGGAAGTGTTGTTAAGTCGTATTCCCAGGCCCACTGATTGTATACTCCTGATAAACCCTAGACCTTAAACCCTGCTTAGGCATGAATATGGCTGATGCTAGATTCCGGGTGAAAAAACCCAAACAATAGGTCGACTTGGACGTACGTTGAGGCTTTAGATTTAGAGGTTCAGGGTTTAGGCTGTAGGGTCAGGCTTTAGGGTTCAGAGGTATCGAAACTATAGCTATAGTGACCAGGAACGTAATTCCAGCTATAAGTAATGCCGACCCCGGATTAAGAAACACCCTGACTTTAAGGGCCTTAATTTTCTTGCTTTTGTCCCTTGTAAGCAGGAGGGTTTAGTACCCAGTCTCCCTAAACCCTAAACCCCTCTGCATCGCCTTGAAGCTGGACCTCAACAAGTATGCTACAAGAAATCCCGTCAGCATGTGCTGAGCTCGCAGCCAATAGCTTGCTACAGCCGAAGCACAGAAGGAACAGAACAGAAAACCGTAGAACACGTCCGAGACCCTAAACCCTAAACTCCAAATTCAAAGGGGAAAAGGAGGGACCCTTAATGGGGACCCCTACCCTATAATGGGCTATACAATGGGTATATACTGGCTATATTACAGGTATATACTTAGGGGTCCTTATTGAGGGTCCCTCCTTTTACCCTTGGACAAACTGCAGACCTAAAACATGCAACCCTAGACACCAACACTTCAACTCAAGACCTTTAGCCCCACACCTTAGTCCCTAAACCACCCTGAAGGCAGGGTTCATCGATTCAGAAGCTTCGGCTTCCAGTTTAATTCGAGAAGCTGTTTTGCTATCTAGGATTTCGCGGGCTTAGGACTTAAGATGTTAGGCAAGACCCTTTGGCCCCGACCCCGAAAGTGCAGCGCGTCTTCCCGTGAAGGCTAGCTGCCACACGCTCTGCAGAAGGTACTATCGGGGTCGGAACAATCAGTCACCATATCCTGCTATAGTTTAGGGTTTAGGGTTTAGGGTTGGTTCCATAGAGCAGCCATACCCTGCTCTAATGTTGAGGCCCTTGTATTAGACCATTTCAGCTTGTAGGTGGGTTTGAGGGCTTAGGGAAGAATATTCAGAGTGTACGGAAATCCGTAACTAAAGCTTGAACACAAAGATTCCGAAACCCTTGCAGAACACCAAATACTTCACTCCAAACCCCAAACCCTAAACTTCCCTAAACCCGAACGAGACGTGCCTTGCCCATCCCCTTGAGATGGGAGAGATCGAGCTCTTGCACCTCAGAAAAACCCCCCGCATGACGCCTAATGTAGGGACCTTAATAATCACCTCTACGATTTGGGGTTCCTTATTTATCATTATAACATAATGGGCCAGAAATAGGGACGTTACTCATCACCTAGACCATATGGGGTTCCTTATGCAAATATAAACAATATAATGGGCCAAAAACCTGCTTCTAATTATTAAGGCCCCTATATTCAACCCTCAACGTGTCTGCTTCAAACCAGTGCAGGTGTGCAAGAGTTTCTGCCTTGGGGCCTCGGTTTTTGGGTTCAGGGCTTAGGGGCAAGAGTGTCCCAATCTGGCACAAGGAGCCAAACGAACTTCATCACAAGACCACCTACGGGCCCAACAAAGCCATCCCGGATCCCTTGACGGCCCTAAACGCCAGAAATGCTACACTCTGAGGCCCTAAACCCTGAGAACCCAAGCCCTGCAAGCCTACTTAAAGGATCATGGGACTTAGTAAGTAGGGTAATAAGTAAGGTAACTACAGCTATAATTACTTATAACCCCAAGTAAGGTACTTATAACCTACTTACTAAGTCCCATGACCCTCCAAGCAAACACCCTGAACCCTAAGAAACAAATCTTCAACAGCCGAAGGCTGCACCTACGACCTCCCGTTTAAGCCGATCGTGGGTGCCACAAGGGTTCTGGGGGTGCTTTAGGGTTTAGGGTTTAGGGCTTAGGGCTTGAGATCCACCAGGGTTACAAAACTCCTAAACCCTAAACCGTAAACCCTAAACCCTAAATCCAAAACCGTAAACCTTAAACCCTCCTAATCCAAGTAGGAACAAAAAAGCAGACACGAAGAAGCTCTATTAGCCCATTTCGCTTTCGGATTCAAGGATTACGATGTGGGGCCGTTTCTTCAAGCACGATGTAGGGTTTAGGGTTTAGGGCTCCACGGGTTAAGGGTGCAGGGCTTGGGGTTTAAGAGTCTGGGGTGTACGGCTTATATACGAGATTAAGGACTGCCTCAACACTCCATGAAGACACATACCGCCAGCCCCATAAACACCGAAACCAACTCGACCCGGGAAGCCCTACATCCTAAACCCGAAACCCTAACTCCCCCTGCTCGCCCTCACCCCACCCCCCCCCCCGGGCTCCCCTGCCCTCAGAAAATGAAGCAAAGGAAGCAAAGCTCCAGAGACCGGCACCCAGCCGTTTAACCCTAAACCCCAAGACAGGACAGGGACCGGCACCCAGCCATCTAGCCCTAACCGAACCCCAAAACCCTAAGACAGGAAGCAAAGCTCCCGGGACCGGCACCCAGCCATCTTTGATGTAGGGGATCAGTGCTTCCAGGCCCCTGCCACCTTTTGGAGCAAGGGACCATGGTTCCTTTAAGGTTCCCTTTAAAAGGTCCTTTAAGGGTTCCTTTAAAGGGACTCCTAGAAGTTCCTTCAAAGGGACTCCTAGGGGTTCCTTTAAAGGGACTCTTACGGGCTCCTTCAAAGGGACTCCTAGGGGTCCCGACCACCTCTGGGAGCGCGGCGCTTTCGGGGTGCTGTTGGGCTGTCAGGTTTAGGGCTTGGGTGTAGGCCAGTTGGGCTCAAAGTTTAGGCTTTAAGGGTTTAGGGTTTGGGGCCTAGCCCTTGGAAAAAATATGTGCGTTCAGATTTTGTTGATGGTTTGAGCTGCAGGGCTTACGGCTTTAGATTCAAAGACTCCCATGTGAGCTTACGGCCATGCACATTCGGCTTAGGGTGTCTAGGGTTTGGAGATTTTCAGAGACTCCAATATCCCTTAATGAAGGAATATTCCTTAAATCACATTAGGGATCCTACTATAATTTAAGGTATATTCCTTAAATAAGGGATATTGGAGTCTCTGGGGAGTCTACACCCTAAACCCTAAATCCTGGGAGCCTGAAAACTCTGCGCTCTAAACCCGAAGCCCTTAGAACCCTTGAAACTCTACACCCTAACCCCCAGAGTTACAACTGGCACATGACAAATTGACTGGAAGTCTGGCGCTTCAAGCTTGGAGTTGGGGGGTTTCGTGTTTAGGACTTAAGGTTTAGAGTTAGAAAGTAAAACAGGCGCCTGATTATCAGAATAGGCTTTGGGGGTTGTAGTATGCTAACATTTTGTGGGGACTACAACGGGAGACTGTTCCTGGCTATCAGGTGCTTCGAGCAATTTTTCGAGCGTTTCCCATTGTGGCGATCAGACGTTATCGCCCGATGGTGGCGGGCTTTTTTCACCCCACGCCGTCTAAGGCGGCCAGACCGCCCAAACCTATTCCTCTTAGGGTTTAGCACTAAGCTCATTCCATGGTTTTCTTCTTTAGGCGTGGTGCTTAGGGTGTAAGGTTCATAGGCCTGCACTATAGACCCTAAACCCTAAACCCCATAGATCCCTTTAAGGAACCCTATACATCCCTTTAAGGAGCCCTTTCATAGCCCTTACTAAGTCCCCTGCCCCTCCAAGTACACTCGGGTCGCACCCCAGAGCCCTTCACGTGTCCCTTTTCCAACCAAAGGCCCGAGACCCGAGCTGCGGAGCCTCCAAACGCCGAACCCGAACTTCAGAAGTTCGCCATCCCTTTAAAGGGATCAAAAAGGGGTCCCTTTAACGGCTCCTATAACTGATCTATGGGGTTTAGGATGTAGGAGACTCCAATGTCCCTTAATTGAGGAATAGACCTTGAATTTCAGTAGGATCCCTCATGTGATTTCAAGAATATTCCTTAATGGGATATGGGAGTCTCTTGCTATCCTCTGGGTCGCTCCTAAACATAAGCGCAGCCTCTCTCCTACTGGTCAGTCTCAGTACGGGGCACACCCACCAAAAAAGAGTACGAGGGACCATTGGATCTAAGGTTTAAGTTTGTCAACTTAGGTTTAAGGACCCTCATTGCAAGCGTTTTGGGTTCAGGGTCTAGTATAGAGGCATAAACCCCCACAGACTCCATGTTCCCCCACAGAGGCAGCCCTCAACCCTAAACTCTGAACCCTAAACCATGAAAGGTAGGCGTAAAAGGGCAGGGGACTTAGCAAGTAGGTTATACGTAGGGTTATAAGTGGGGTAACTCCATTTAGGGTTTTAGGGTACTTATAACTCTACGTATAACCTACTTACTAAGTCTCCTGCCCCTCCAAGTAGGCGCAAAAGGGCAGCCAAGCGACCCATTCCGGAACCATTCAGCCAAAGCCTCTCCGCGGTTGTGCGGGGCTTTAGGGTTTAGAGTTTTGGGCTTAAGGTTTAAGGGTCTAGCCTTTTCTGTTTCGGTTTGATTGGCTGGGAAAAGGAACCAATGCCGGTGAGATGCAGGGGTGGGCCCTTGGGATAGGAATGCTAGAAAACTCAGGAGCGATGCCAGGCTGATGCACGGTGGTACTGTAGAGGGCCTTCATCATTGCCTACACTATTTTTTGAGGGGGTTCCTTGTAAAAATAATCGGAGTAAAAAGGGGCCCCGAATCGCAATTCTAAGTATTAATGCCCCTATATTACGTCAGTCCTGGGGGATGTAGCTGTGGCTGCAGATATTGTTGCGACTGCAGTCGTAGATGTGGTGATTACTGCTGTTGGTCATGATGTGGACCTATCTTCACGATCATGTTTCGATCATAAGCATCATCAGCATCGTATCACCACCGTCCTGAGATGGGGGCGACTCGTTGGCCCGGGATTTTGTGCTTGGCATGTCAGGCTTCCCTGTGAGCTGACCCCAATGCATTCAAGCTTAGATTGCCGGGCCATGTGGGGTGCAGGGTTTCGGCTTTCAGGTTGTTCCGCCCTCCCTGGCTGCCTTGGAACAGCCGAAGAATGCCGCGCCAGGAAAGGCCCCACTATACTGGCGGCAGCAGAACATGAAGCATCGTTACGGTGCCCTGAAGATCAGCATAAAACCCTTATGGAACCCGATAGGAATCGAAACTCTGGAATCGTGGGTTTAGGGTTTAGTGCTTTTATACACTGTGCGCTCTTTTCCGGGCTGCACGGACACTAGTAATGACACTGGTACTAACAGGTAGCATTTCAAAGGAAACAATCTCCATAAGTTACAATCACGGGAAGAATGGCATTAATCCGCACACCAAAGACAATAACTGCATGTATAAGAACTAACAGTGGTCATGGCACCAGCCGTGAGTCATAAGCAAGCTTTAACCCAGAGACTCCAATATCCCTTAATTAAGGAATATACTTTAAAATATCGTAGGATCTCTAAAATAATTTAAGGAATGTTTCTCAAATAAAGGGACATTGGAGTCTCTGGCAATGCCACTGCTTCGGGGCTCAGGGCTCAGGGACGTTTCAGTGCTTGACACTAAACCCTAAACCCTGAACCCTAAACCCAAGACCCTAAACCCTAAACCCTGAAAGCCTAAACCCTGAAAACCTCAAACCCTCAACCATAAAACCTCAAAGCCTAAGTCCGATAATCATTGGGACTTGTTCTGGGCCCTTCACAGACTTTTTGTGGCTTAATAATATAAGGACCTTCACAATTAGGATAGGAATTTGTGGCACATTAAACTTTCATTATAATATGGAGCCCCCAGAATAGTATAGGTAACTATTGAAGCCCCTATAGTAACTTAGGGCTTCGCGTTTGAGGTTTATTTTAGGGTTGACGGTTTGGGGCTTGCGATTGGGGTCTAGCGTTTGGGGTTTGGAGTTTCGCGCTTGCGGTTAAGGTTCTAAGGCGGCGCAGACCCCTGATTAGGGGCACCACTCCTCCTTCCAGGGCCATCATACCAGGACCTCTATAAGTTCTGTGTAATGAAGGTAGATCGTTCTTACATCAGAAAGTAGCCTACACTACCCTAGACCCTAAACCCTAATAAACCCCTGAACCCTAATGCCGACAAACCAACATGGCAAGTAGGAGGCCGGGAGTCTTGAATCTGATTCCGGCTTCCGGCCCAATGCTTGGAGTACCATGCAGCGGCTAAAGTTTAGGTTTGGGGCCTAGGGCATAAGGTTTAGGGTTTAATGATTCGAGTTTAGGGTTTAGGGTTTAGAGGTGGGGCTTGGGGACGTTCGCAGTCCGTGCGCAGATTGCTGGTGTTCGGATTTGAATGGTTGAGCTTATGCCTGAGGCCATCGAGATGCCTGAATCGAAGCATCCTTACTTTGAGGCCCACATGAAGGACCCGTTCTGTGCTCCGTCGAAAGATCCCAAGTAGTTCAGGCCCCTACACGAGAAGGGAGAATGGTACTGAGCCTTTCGGGCCCTGAACCCCCTGAAACCCAAACCCTGAACCCCAAAAGTCAACCTTCAAGAAACCGTTCAAACCATGCGCACATGCGAGTCCGGATGTCCTTTCCATGACATCATCGGTAATCGTTGGGTGGTTACTGAGGTCCAGATCGAGCCATATGATGCAATCCTCCAACTCCCTGGGTGTTGGCTGAGGTCTCGGAGCAGAGTACAGTATTAAAAGTGGTAGTAGCTAGCTCTAGAACTTGCAGTACTAGCACTACTAGCACTAGCACTGGCACTAGCACTAGCACTACAGTAGCACTGGCAGTGGCAGTAGCAGTAGCAATAGCAGCTGTAGCGGCAGCGGCAGTGATAGTGGCAGTGGCAGTGGTAGTGGTAGTGGTGGTGGTAGTGGTAGCCCTAGCCGTAGCTGTAGCAGTGGTAGTAGTAGAAGTAGTAGTAGTAGTAGTAGTAGTAGTAGTAGTAGTAGTAGTAGTAGTAGTCGTAGTAGTAGTAGCAGTAGTAGCAGCAGAGGAGGTGGTGGTGGGAGTCGTAGTAGTAATGTAGTAATGTAGTCAGCACTTAGTAGAAAGTAGTAGCAAGTAGTAGGTGGAGTAGTAGTCGTCGTAGTAGCAGTGGTAGTAGTGGTAGTAGTGGTAGTAGTGGTAGTAGTGGTAGTAGTGGTAGTAGTGGTAGTAGTGACAGTAGTGATAGTAGTGGTAGTAGTGGTAGCAGCGGTAGCACTGATAGTAGTGATAGTGATAGTAATGGTAGTAGTACTAGGAGTGGTAGTAGTGGTAGTAGTGGTAGCGGTGATACGAAAAGCAGCAATGGTAGCAATGGCAACATTGGTAGTAGTGGTAGTCAAGGTGGTCATAGTAGTTCTGGTAGTAATCAATGTTAGTAGTGGTAAAGCTGGCAGGCATGGTAGTAACGGTAGCAATGGTAATAACGGTACTAATGGCATTGATGGTAGACATGGTAGTAATGGTAAGTGCTGCTACGTTACGGTAGTAGTGGTAGTCACTTGTAGTCATGGTAGTCATGGCAGCCATAACAGTCATGGATGTGATAGTGGTCGTGGTAGCTGTTGTTGTTGTAGCCGTAGCACCGGCAACAATGCTACCAGTGTTCAGTTCCAGTACGTAGTACCAATACTACCAGCAGCACTGGCCGTACCAGTACCAATGGTCCCGATAGAGGAGGGCGGCAGTGCGAACGGTGTCAGTGGTGTTCGTGATAACGAAAGTTGTGAAACTTGTCGTTGCCGCTTGAGTCGCCGTCGTGGCTTGGCTTTGAGTAGCATCTGCTGATGAGTTTCCTGCATTGCAGAAATGGTTTCGTAAACCTGCTGTTGAAGACGACGATGACGAGGATGAGGATGAGGATGGGCTCTCCTAAATCCTAGATCGCAAACCCAGTCAGGGCTCCAGAAAACGACCGAGGAATCTTCATCAGAAGACAACGCCGTTTGGGGTTTAGGGTTAATGGTTTAGGGCGTGTTGTTTGAAGCATCGCTGAGAGCCCAACTCTGCAATTTCGAAAATGTTTTGAGTCTGAATTAAGCAATATTCTTTCAGGCGTTAATTGGGGAGAAGTGATGGGCACTCTGAACTTGATCGTGCCAAGATGCCTTTTCAGTTCTTCGAAGGCCTCTGCCAGCTCGTCAGCACTGATCTTTTCCTAGGTGTCGGTTTCAACAGTCCCCGAAATCATTTACAGTTGAGGCTCTGTTTTACCCTAAACCCGAAACCTAACCTTAAACCCTATAGATCCCTTATAGGAACCCTGAAAGGAGCCCTTAAAGATCTCTTTCAAGCGATCTCGGAAACCCTGAACCCTAAATCCCAAATCGATACCTAGTTTCCCAGCCGGCGCAGAGCTTCACATCCAGAGCTTTGGCCTGAGGTATCGGTTGCTGGAGGGGCCAGCGATTCAGAAAAGTGGGGGTTTAGGCTTCAGGGCTTAGGGTTTTGGGCTGAGGGTTGAGGATTTAGGGTTGGTTTGAGGGTTGAATGTTCAGGGTTTAGGGTTGGGAGTTTAAGCTGTAGGGTTTCGGGATAGTTCATGCGCTGCAGAACCTGAGGTGAAAAAGTGCAATATGTCTGGGAAAGAAAAAGAAAGGGAGAGAGAGAGAGAGAGATACCAAGATACCATGACGCATACTACGTGTCTTGTCTAATCTGGTGCTGCAGGATTTACTGTCGTTCGTTACTGCTTTATGGGTCTGGCGGTTCAAGGAAACGCATAAGCAGTGTGGTGAGCACCCTGTTTCGATTGCGCTTGCAACTAAAACCGTCCAACCCTACAACCCGAAACCTTTAAACCCCTAGCACCCGCGACCCCTAAACCCCCAAACTCCCCCAAAAACCCTAAAACCCTTGGTTAGAAAGCCTTCAAGCCAACTCTTGCTCATCCTGGGCTAATGAGTTCCCTGGAAGAAACCCGGTTTAGGGATGAGGGTTTAGGGTTTAGGGCTTCGGGTTTGGGATGTAAGGTTTAGATTCACGGAAAGCTTCCTTTCACGGTTCCTTACTGGCACCCCGCGAGAGTTCTGTGATAAGTCGCTCTAAGGGCTCCTTCTAGGAAGTCCCAAACTACGGGAAGCCCTGAACGATTGAAAACACCTTCGAACCTCGGGATTAGGACCGCAAGTTCGGAAGCTCCTTCATACCATGACCTTTTGGGGTTTAAGGGTTTAGTGGGTAGGGTATAGGGTTGGGGGTTTAAGGTTTAGGTGAGGTTTAAGACGTTTAATTTCATGGTTCAGGGTTCGGGCAAAAGGGTTTTGGGTTTACGGTTTGCGAGGTACGGTTTAGGCGAATTGTAAGCCCTTGTAGTAGAACTCACCAAACCAAACAAAACCCTGAACCTGAACCTTCAAAAACCCTCTGCCAAAACGAGCCTAAACCCTAAACCCTAAACCCCCAAACCCCTACACCCTAAACCCTAAGAGGAATTCCTCTGCCAGCAAGCAGCACTCTTCCATGTCTTCTGCCAGTATTTCCAGTAGGGCATGGCACAGCTTAAAGTCTGGGGTGTGCAGGGCTCTACCTTAACCTACCAGAACCTACTTTTTTTGTAAGGTCCCTATAACTCCCATATTAGGGTTTATAATAAGAACCTACAAAAAGTAGGGTTTAGTAGGTCTAGGTCGGGGCTTTTTTTGGACCACCCAGAGACTCCAAAACTCTTTAATTAAGGAATATACCTTAAATTATAGTAGGATCCCTGATATGATTTAAGGAATATTCCTTAATAAAGGGATATTGGAGTCTCGGGGCATCCTGTTCTTCGGGCACAGCGATTCGCTCTGCGAGCCTTCGATGCAAACGTGTACGAGGGCTCTTCGGAAATCGGGCTCCCTCTTCAAGGTACTGTCATAGGGACCCTTAGGGGGGCAAGGGGAAGGGATTAGTGGATCAAATTGGCCTTGTTATGGGCATTACGGCCCCCTACCCCCCCGTCCCCCTACCCCCCCCTAAGGGTCCCTATGATACTAAGGCTTCGGGCTACTTGGTGGTACCCCACTAGCATCCTGAAATCGAAGACGGGCTTGCGGTTTAGGAGCCATGGCTCAGGGCTTCCTTGACTAGGGTAGTTTAGGGTTTAGGGTTTACGGTTTTAGGGTTTAGGGTTTAGGGTTTAGCGGGCTCATGGGGCTCAGTAAGATAAAAAACAGTATGTGTGTTTTCCTTTTTGCTTCGATTTTGAACCTCAATGAATTAGGAGTACCTCTTTTTCCTTGTTGCTTCGATTTTCAACCTCAACTAATTAAGCTATTTTATCGCCCAAAACCCTAAACCCTAAATCCTGAACCCTAAACCCCAAAACCTCAATTAGGCCACTTATCGCTTGACTCTCCTCCAAGCAGGGCTTTGGGTTTCTGACCACTGTGCAGCCTCAAGTGCCTTCCCTAAATCCTGAAGCCCTAAGTGCAAGATCCCAAACCCTGAATCCAAAATCCCTACATCCTGACATAACCCGAGATCTCCAAACCCTTCGAGTGGTGAGATTCGGAAAACCCGGGACCCCAATCTAAACGCTAAGCACTACATACCAGGATCCTGATTTAGGGTCTAGGGTAATCGTAGGATCCTGACTCTAAGTACTCCGGAAATCAAAGTAGGGGAATCCCGTGGCTGCAGGCGCAAAAAGGCAACTTTTACGACTCTAAAGCCCTTCCTCCAACTGTCAAGCCGTTTCTCCGCTATTGCTGGGAGCCCAAACGGCCCCCACGGAAGACTCGAGCGGAAATGGCGGCAAAAGGAGCAAAAGTCTTGGGGCCTTCCTTTCTAGAAGGCCTCCCTAAACCCTAAGCCCTAACCCCTAAACCCTAAACCCCTGAACCCTAAACCCCTAATTTAAATCCCTACGCCCAAAGCCCTGACCTGCAAGGGGGGTAGGGCCGAACTTATACTCAGAGCTGCTTTCGCTGGGCCTTGAGAGTTGGAATCGGCGTTTTGGCCGTGGGGGAATGTCAGAACCTGATTAAGAAACCCTGGCCCTATAACCCAAAATAATAGGGCTCATACAGGGAACCCTAATAAAGGCCCAAGGTTTCTTAATCAGGTTCCACATTATAGTATGGTATGATCAGAGCAAGGAACCTAAAAAATACCATCCGTCATTACCAAGGCCTTTATATTCATGCCATACAAACAGAAAGCAAAGAACAATGATCACTTCTAGCACAAAGACGTCGTGCCTATGGCGCTCACAGGTGACGCCGATGCTGATGCCGACAATAACGAGCATGAGCATGAGGATGAGGATTTGAAGCAAGGTGCATCAGCTTTGTGATTCAGCCCTACACCCCTGCATCTTGGCATTTAAAATTCGAGCCTAGGTCTGGCAAGATAAGCGCACGATCACATGCTCTTGGGACGGCATGTCTCGATTCCTGAGTCAGGATGCAACTGTTGATGGTATAAATCCTGCATTACCCATAATAAGGAGTATACCATACTTCCCACAGTTTCGGGTCTTTAAAGTAATGCAGGATTTATATCATCAACAGAATCTCCGGATCTGGTATGCTTTGGAGTGCTTTCGGAGTTAGGGTTTACGGGTCGTCAGTAGTCTCGAAGGCTGACATGATATGTCAAGCCACTAACCTGCAGTGCC